TTGAAAGCGTCCGAGTTCGTGGTTCTTTCTTACCTATCTTTCTTCCCTCCTCCCCACCCACGGCCGAACCCATCCAAGCTCCCCTACCCGCCGGCCCAAGTCCCCTCTTCCCTCAAACTACCAGCCACACACTCCTCCCTCTCCCATCCAAAATCCCTCCACCAAGTCAAGACCCAACCTACTTCACCCTCTTCCCCTCCATACCATCAAACACCCACACCCTAACCCTAGCCACCGGCCACATCAACCTTCCCTTTAGAAACCCCCATCAAAGCATGTAATCAAGCCTTTCCAATTTAACCTTTCTAAGTTAGGCAATCTATTTAATTCATATTCAAATCTAATTTGAATTTGAATTGTTTCATAAATATTATGAAATTCTATTTTTGAAAAGTTTTTAGAATTAAATCCTATTTGAATTTAAATTCAATTGGATTTAATTAAATCTTTCCAAATCCCCAATTCCAACACAAGCAACCCTTAATTGCCTTTCCCTAATTTCCTCTCCCCTATTGAAACTGTCACCCCCCCCCCCTTCTTCATTACCCCATTTGATTACTTTCCAAATTGCAAAAGTCTCACTTTGGGAAGAATTCAAATCTCACCTTCTCTCTTTCCCGCCCCCTCCCTCTCACTTATTCCCTTTTAATTCTTTCCAAACTTAAGAATTAAATAGGAAAACAAATTCCCAAATTTCACTCCATCCTTCCTCTGCAAAAGCTGAATCAATTTCTTCCCCAAGCTCCCACTTTTGGCCGGCCTCCTCTCACCCTTCTTCTCCACTTGAATCCTTGAGAGAAACTTCTTTCTTTCTTGGGAAATCTTTAAGGGAAGCAAAGGACGTCGTCTACAATACTTCAACCCTACGAAATCGATGCATGGCCGATCCCGATCTTGACTCTGATTTCGTCTACAACGAATAAGACCTCGTCGAGATCATCCGGTCACCTTTCTTCGACGTCAACCCAGAAATAGACAATTTCATCGAGGAGTACTTGGATCGTATCATCTTCACCTTGTCCGAAGCCATCGAAGAGTAGCTTTCCACCATTCAGTGGCAAATCACCATCGTCTCACGACGAGCGTGAACTTTTCCTCCTATTAAATTTACTCCTAATCTTCTTCTCTTGTAGGTTGTGATTCAAGCACAAAGAATCGTGCAAAGCTATCTTCCAATGCTTAGTAAAAGTAGGGCATGAGCTTGATTTTCTATGTTTTCTAATCTCATTGTCAACCTAGGGATGCTATTGAAAATCTACTTAATTTGCATATGTTGAAACTCAAAATGTTTTGATGATCTTAGCTTTTAGCATGTGATTTGGCCTTAAGCGGAGTCACCTCTCTTTTTGTTTTCTATTATCATTTAGTAGCTAATGTTTTTATTCTTTTTGCTCTCACTCCAAAAAGTGCAAGTTCTTAACACATTCGTTTAAATCATACCTAGTCCTGCATCAAGGTAAGCCCTTCCAACTATCACATGTCTCATAAACTACCTTCAAAAACCTTAGGACTAAAAACACCAATGGATATCATATCTTCATTTTACCCCAAATTTTGAATCCATAATAACCTTACACCCAGAATCTTTGTTAGTAGCCCTTCCAACTGCCTATGTTCACATTCATAGCCAAAAATAGAGAAAAATTAGATCCAAGAGCACTCAAATGTATATTTGTTGGATATTCATCCACCCCAAAAAATTATAAATGTTATCATCATTCTACCAAGAAAATCCTTGTATATGTTGATATTACTTTTAATGAACAAAAACCCTTATTTTATCAAACCTCATCTTCAGGGGGAGACTGAAACTGAGGAAGATGAGAAAAATGAGCTTGCCCTCTTGTCCTTCCAGCTCTACCTAAACATGAAATCAATGCCAGGGAAATTGAAGACAAAGCTATATTTGATAACATACAGTTTATGAAAGAGTATTCCAGGTGTAGAAATCCAAATAATGCTCTAGACAAATCCAAGAATCTAAACCATCTCCTGAAATTGAGTTAAATATAAGAAAACCTCCCTTCTACCCCATAATCAACTTTGTATTCTTCAATAACTTCTCACCTTCACACAAAAATTTCTTGGTTATATAAAATAATATTTATATTCCTAATGATATTTCTAAAGATCTTATTTGATGAAAATTGAAAAAGTGTCATGAAAGATGAAATGCAGGCCCTGAAGAAGAATAATACCTAGGAGATCACTAACCTATCAGTGGGAAAAAAATTTGTCGACTGCAAATGGGTGTTCTCTGTGAAATATTAAGTCGATGGTACACTAGAAAGGTATAAGGCAGACTAGTGGTGGAAGGGCATTCCCAAACGTACGGCATCGACTATAAGTAAACCTTTGCACCTGTGGCCAAGATGAACACCGTTAGGATCCTACTCACTAGGAACTAATTATAATTGGCATCTAGAACAGCTGGATGTCAAAAATGCATTCTTACACGGGGACATGGAGGAAGAAATATTTATAGACATTCCACCCGGATTCAAAGGAAAATTTGGAGGAGACAAGGTATGTAGGTTAAGAAAGATTCGATATGGCCTAAAGTACTCGCCTAGAGCTTAGTTTGAAAGATTCTCAAAAGTCATACTTTTTAATGGTTATCAATAGAATCAAGAGGATCATACATTATTCTTCAAGCACTCAGACTCGGGGGAAGTTATAATAGTTTAAGTTTATGTGGATGATATTATCTTGACTAGGAATGATGAAAAGGAGAAAATGATTATAAAGAAATGTCTTACAAGGGAATTTCAGATCAAAGAACTTAGTAGACTAAAATATTTCCTTAGAACTAAAGTTGCATAATCCAGCACAGGAATTTTTATTTCACAACAAAACTACATCAATGATCTTCTTAAAGAAACAAGTAAATTAGCTTGTAAACAGGCACCAACATCAGTAGAACCAAATCTCAAATTGGGAGAAGCTAAAAAAGGTCTAGATGTGGATAAGAGAGCTTACAAAAGACTTATGGAAAAATTGATCTACCTTTCTAACACCAGACCAGATATAACATTTGCTGCAGGCATGCTTAGCCAGTTAATGCAAAATCTAAAAAAGACTCATATGCAAGCTGTAGACAGAATACAAGGAAAAATGATTCTCTACAAAAGAGACTATGGAATAACCTCAGAAGCATATACTGATGTTGATTACGCAAGATCACTAGTAGATGGACAATCTACTCGGGATATTGCATATTCCCTAGAAGAAATCTAGTTACATGGAGAAAGGAAAGAAACAAAATATGGTGGCAAGATCTAGTGTAGAAGTATAACACAAAGCTATGGCATGAGGAATATGCAAGCTACTATGGATCAAGATAATCATAGAAGACCTAAGGATCAAGTGGAAAGGACCCATGAAGTTATATTGTAACAACAAATCAGCAATTAACATAGCTCACAATCTGATTCAGCTCATATAGAAGTAGACAAACATTTTATAAAGGAAAAGTTAGACAGTGATCTTATGTGTATCCACCATGTCTCATCAAAAGATCAGCTTGCAAATATTCTTACCAAAGGACTTGATAATTGCCTTTCTGGGACTGATTACCAGCTGGAAATGGAAAATATATATTCCCCAGCAGGCCCAGCTTGGGGGGAGTGTTAAATCCCAGCCATCGCTTATTAGATTGATCCCACAACTAAGATTAGGATCCGTTGGAGACTCACCTGGATCACGCCAATCTCTTTCCATAATTAGGAGGCTAGTTTAGGAAGGATTATATCAAGGCAATAATGTGTAATTTTGTAATTTATTTGTTTCTTTTTTAGATATTCTATATAGATCTATAAATAAGGATAGATTTGTGCAATAAAGCTAAGCCTTTTTCCCTCTTCAAATCTAAAAATTTAACATTAGCTTAATTCACGAAGCTATTAACTACCTGCATAAGCATTTTAATATAAAAGAGTAGGATATGAAAATGGAGTTGCTAAGAAGAATCGAAGTTAAAATCCATACACGAGTATGAACTTTCACATGAAGCTTTAAACTAGCCAAGAGTAGATGGTGCTGACCATGGCTCTATCGAAGTAGTTGACTAGGAAAATAAAATTAATTGGATTTTAAACTGATATTGTTCGATTATAATTTGATTAAAAATTTTAATAATAATTTAAAATAAACTCTTGAATTACGAAATGCCAACTTACTGAAAGTCAAGGCCTCGTGTTGGAAGTGGATAAAGCAACCACAATATGGATATGTGATACATCAGGGGGGCCCACCTTGTGGGACCCAGAAAAGTTATTATTCATAATGTGATGAGGAGGAATCAAGAAGTTTAAATATTTTGAAAGTTTTTCTAAATTATGTTTAATTTGTTTAGGAAGATTTCCGAAATCACGTTTAATTGTTTAAGAATGTTTCCTAAATTATGTTTAATTTATTTAGGAAGGTTTCATAAATCAAGTTTAACTATTTAAGAATGTTTCCTAAATTAGGTTTAATTAATTTAGGAAGATTTCCTAAATTATGTTTAATTTGTTTAGGAAGGTTTTCTAAATCATGTTTAATTATTTATGAATGTTTCCTAAATTATGTTAAATTGTTTAGGAAGGTTTCTTAAATTATATTTAAATTATTTAGGAATGTTCTATTTATATTATTGTATTCTAGGGCTATTTGAGGGAGAGTTGTCTAGGGTTTTAGGATCATGCTATGACTGAGTTTTAGTTTTGTGGTAGTTCTTTTCTTTGAGGGCTACTTAACAGCGTCCAGGTTGATTGTGAGAGACAATCTACTCTCGAATTGTAGATCACATGTATCTTATTTTCTGTTATTGAAATTAATACAAAATTAGCCACCGTTTTGATTTTACTGCAGTTTTTCTATTTGTTATTTGTTGTTTCAGTTTCCAAGGCAATCAATATGATGCCCCAATTAGACACAGTTAAAACAAATCACTATTAATAATAATACAAGGGATATATCCTCATGTGCACTTCAAAAGAAAATCAAATTGGATATTTAACCTGAATTCAGGCTTTAGCCATCTCTCACCCTCCGCCAATAGCCATGTGATCTTTTCACATGTTGTCATTATTTCTCCCAAGGAAGCATCTACCATAGTCTTTCCAGTATCTCGAGAAGAGACCCTGTGTAACAACAACAGTTATAATGATAAAAATAACGGCACATTCAACATAACAGAATTGGCATTCACACCAAGTAAAATGAGACATGTATCTCGAAAAATTCATAGTACACATTGAATATACAGAAATCAGGAATCAATACTTGGTGCCTACTGCATCTCAATCGATATCTCCAGCAAGAAACAGAAGCCTCAGCATAATGCAAGTAAAAATGAAGAGACAACAGTAATTGTTCCCTGAGTTGTTTTAATCTTTAAAATAGGTCATAGGTTAGACCCTGTAGTCATTGCTGATATCTCAGTAAATACCAACCTACTTGTTATTCATATATAAAAAACATGAATAATTTAAGTGTTCGTACTCGCATATGAGCGCTTGATGTTCAATTATGTACTTTAGAAGAATCCGTAAAAATTGACGTCTCTGCCTAAAGCTGCTATTTGCCCATATCTTCTGTGCTTTCCTGGCTTGGGCTACATGCATCTTTACCTGATCAAATGCAGAAACTCCACAATAAATATTATTGCCAAAACTGAAATATTACAACTGTTAAAAAAACTTAAGAGAAAAAGATTGTGCATGATACTAAAGTAAATAGTTTGGGTCCAGTTTAGAGAGGAAAATAATTTCAAGAGAAAAGGGAGAAAAGACATGATCCCAATCTGAAAAAATGGGCATAAGTGAGATGTCAAAGTTTCAAAGTATAAACTAAAGAACATGTTTGTAATGAAAGGATGAATAAAATTGGAAAGTTATTCCAGAAAACAGTTCAAATTCCTAGGGAAAAATGCAGTGCCATAATGAAAATCAAGTAACTCCTAGAAAGGATAAAATGCCAAGGAATAAAGAAATTCAAACTTTTTGTCCGTGTTTGATGTAGACACACAAGAAGAAACAGACACAATGGATAGAACTTAAAACAAACTTTATTAAAATAGAAACAAACAGCTAAGACTTGACAAACACAATAAGAAATATTAGAAGAAATAAAGGAAAATAAAAAGACGCTATCCTCAGACAACCGTCAGAGCGGGTTCCTCACATTCATCGAATAGTAGATAAAATAAAAGAAGTGAATAAGACTAGCAAACCGATGGTCCGCCACTGCTAGACTGTCCCAAATACTTCCAAATCAACCAAGACACAACACCCTAAAGTTGCTTCACTGTTGAGAAGAAGGATACAGATGGAGTGGCACTTGCGGAGAGACGAAGAGGTTAGAAGCCCAAGAAGAAAGGGTGGAAAGAGCCCACATGATTTCCGGAGGGGAAGAGAAAAGAAAGGTGGAAAGAGCCCGCAGGATTTCCGAATAAACCCGCAGGTTAATAGCAAACTATGCTCACAAATATCAACTGCCTTTCCTTTACAACATCATCTCTTATTTATAGGCAAATTAGAGGAATGCCAAAAGCCACCTAAGTTAATGTTCACAACATCCCAAGCATCATTTTTTTATAGATTTCCAAATGCCACTTCGGAAAATAGCCCAGCATAAATCCTAAAGGAATAGTTACGGGAATCAAAAGTAATTCACGGAACCAACGAGCCAAAATCTTGGAAAGCAAGCAGCCCGCCAGAATTCAAAGCAACACAGTCTCAGGAAAACATCCAAGCACGGAAAAACAGAGGCTGGCCGGACTCCCAAGAGGTAAAGCACAAAAATCAGCAACCTCATTATGAATTTAAAGCATAGAATTCAGTCCCTAATAAATACAAGCCACGGTTTCCCAAGAGACAAGAAGAAAGGGGAAGGGGAAGGGACAATGCCAACTCCAAAAGTAATTCTTCTTAATGAGGTACCTTTTTGGAAT